TAACATATGTACATACATATGTACTATACGTGTATGCATTTATTTGTTTACTAACAAACATATGACGTTTTTGCTACGAAAAATAAAAACAAATGCATAGCAAACTCAGCATATTTAATGACAACAAAAAAAATTGGCAAACTGCACATAATGTATTTATTAGGGTGGTTCTAAATGAATACTTTATACGTTACTTCCAGAAATTTTCCGGAAATTGTCATTTAAACTGCACTTTTCAGCACTATTTTTTTTTATTGCCTCTGCGAATCGAGTCGAAACGTGTTCCGCGGAATGGTAACTTGAGCTTTGGAAACTAAAACAAAAAGTTACATGGGGCCAAATCCGGCGAATACGATGGTTGATTGATGGTATTGAACGAATTGTTGGTCTTAAAGTCGTTCACAGCTATCCATAGCTCGGTGCAATGATGAAAGGCCTCAAAACGCTCAAATAATACTGTTTAGGCGTGCGCTTAAACAGAACACCACCCTAGTTTTGTGTACGCAGCCTAAAGAGCCTTCTTGAGCGCATGCAGCTATATACGAGTACGCCTTGCTTTTCAAGCAGAAAATGAGATTTCTTACCAACTATCGATAAACGGGCAGTGTGTAATATTTAAAATTAAATTAAATCCTAAACTACATATATACAATGTTAATAAAGCATTAGGCATTTGTGAAAAATTTATGAGTAAATAAATGCTAAAATTAAAAAACTTAACTCTAATAAAAATACATGTATGTAATTAATTAAATAATTATAATCAAATAAAACATTGAAGAAAATGCGCGAGTGGTTTTATTTTTAAAGGCTTAAGGGGTTACATTTTTTTCATAATTCTTTGTATAAAAGTACAAAGAGTCCGGAATATTTTCCCCAAGTTTCAAGTCGACGCTGCAAAAAATTCAATTTTTAATTTTTATTCGTTCAGGGACAAGGTAAACTCACCTACTCTAAGAAAATTTTGAATTTTTTATTGCAGATAAAAATTGGAAAGTTACCATTTCTACCGCGAAAGCACTTTCTTGTGGACGGTATACTTTACGATACTGCCAACGCCTTAGCTTATACTATTTTTCATTTAAATTTTCATGAAATGTTGTCCACATATTATAATTTTATAAGTAAACAAAATAAATTGTATACTTTACTTAGTATCTTTTAAAAAAATTTAAGGAAATAAGCTTTTTTTTCCATCAAGACCCCTGGTAACTCGAGCCAACCTTAAATTGGCATCCCTATTAAAACAGTGTTGCCTAATAACAAAAAAAAAAAAGAAATTTAATACTTAAAGAAAACTCTTTTTTAAATACATTAAATATTGTTTATTTACCGTCTTCGCAGTTGGGACAAATTCATGATGAACCAAACAGCGAATGTCGAAAAAAGACAATATCCGGAAACTTTCTGGTTTTAATGTATATGTAGCTGTACTGACGAAATATTTTCCAACCTTGTTTTTTTCGAATCGAAAGTGAATGATTGGCCTGTTATGAACTGCAGTAACTGAGAGAAAATGACGAAAATTCACCTAACCATTTTTAGGGGAATTCTGAATTTCTCTTTAATGCTGAGGAAATCTGGCAATCAAATTTCCCACATTTATCTATTATAATATCAGCTGGTATGAAATCGCTGATTTCCTGTGGGGACGTGCGGTAAAGAGTCTCCTTTGCTTGAGAATGGCATTAAAACTAGTTTAAAGCTCTCAAGTTCAAGAAACTACCTTCAGCATAAGCGTGTGAAGATTGTATCCAAGTCGATGGCCAAAAAATTACTCATAATTTTTTCAGAAAGTGATAACACATTATTAAAGAATAGAGTTGAATTGTAGGCGTCCGTAACAATTCTCGGCTGAGCAATACGAATTTACATAGTTGGAAATTAAAAAAACAGTGCGTGCTACAAGTTGGAAGCATTGTGTCTTAATCCCTACACAAACAGATATTTAAAATAAATATAATGTAATATAAATATAGCAGATTCTGCTGCCTTTATAACTCTTCTAAATATTTTTTTTTGATAGTCTTTGTTATCTTGATTTTAAGAAGTCTACAGTCTTCATGTTCTATCTCATTGCAAGCAATTCCGTCCTGGTCATCCTAAAATTAGGCAATACTTGTAAGTATGCTCCACAAATGCTTTATTTACTTAAGTTATTCTATGTAAAATTGACTAAAATCTGGGTAAAAATTTGGCGAATTGTTATGTTTTTTATTGAAAGAATTTTTGTGAACAAAAATATAATTTCCGAAAAAGTTAGAAAAGTTTCAGATTTTTAAAAACACGATTTTGGATAATCATCAAAACAAAGGATAAGCCAATTTTTAAGTGTTTAAAAATATTATTTAAAATACCTAAGCTCCAAACATATATAAAGCGACATTCACATATATATAAATGTATATACATATATGTCTTATTAAATACTCAATGCTACTAGAAGCTAGAACAAAATTATTGTATTGCGCAATTGAATTGACATGATTTTGTAATTATTAATTAACTAGCCTACGCTATTTCATTAAACTATATTACATACATAAATATTATGTTTACATATGTAGCACATTTTTGAAAGGAATTCTGTAGTAACCCAAAGAGTTAGTTGCGTAAATCAATATTAACACGTCCCATTCAATGCACGCACATTTTTTCCCAAAGCGTTCAATTAACGTGAGTTTTCAAATGAAATAAATAATATTTAAGAAAGCAAATTCAGTAAAAACTAATTAGTGAAGCATTCATTAGAGTGCTGAAAATATAAATTATTTTCAAGTTGAAGGTGTTGCTAGGAGTATCATAGCTGGTCAAAAGGAATTTTTTCAGCTTTACAGTGTTGGCGAGAAGATTGTATATCCTTAAACTCTAATAAATAATTGAGGTAAGTAAATTTATTAGTGCATTTCATTATATTTTATTTGTTATATTACTAATGTTATTGTTTTCATTTCATTTAATTTTATTTTATTTTCTAGAATCTAATTATTTTTCTTATTTTTGTATATAATTTTATTTTAGTTCATTTCATTTATTTTATTTGCTTAATATGTTTTACTTTTTTCATTTGATTAATTTATTTTTGGGTAAAATAATTTTATTTGGTTTTATATAATTTTATTTATTTAATGAACTTTTTATATTCATGAAGTATATAAAAGCATTTCATTTAATGTTCCCTTTTTATTTTTTTACAACTCGTTTTTCTCTTACATTTATTTTACTTTGTTTTGAATAATTTATTTAGTTTTATTTAAATTATTTTTAGTTCATTATTATGTTTTATTTTATAATATATTATTTTTATTTTATCTTAGTTTGTTTATTTTATTTTAGGTTGCTCATCTAATTTAATTTAAGTATTTTTTTAAATTTTTTTTTTAATTCATTTATTTTATTTGATTTTATTTGCCTTAATTGCTTTTTATTATACTTTACATAACTTCAATTAATTTTGTGTTGTTTTCTACATATACATATATATATATATACAATATAATTGGCGCTTTGTAACTCCTGCTATTTTTCGACTGAGCCCCTCCTCTAATTTGTGGTTTTGCGTCTTGATGTGTTTCCAACATATGGGGGGACCTACAGTTTATATAAAGCCGCTTTCGAACGGCCGATGGTTTTACGAAAAGCAGTTATTTCATGTCCGAAATACACCACTATTAGAAAAATTAAATTAATTTTTTATTTGAAAATACTTTTCCATAACTTTTGGATGTTGGTGGCGCCGAGATTTGAACCCGAGCCTTCCGAATGTTAGCACGCAATGCTAACCAATCGACTACTGCCGCAGATTTAATTTCCCTCATTTCATTTAATTTAATTTTTTTACTTTGTATTATATTGTTTTAATTTGCTTTATTTTATTGCTATCTAATGGAATTTTAATTTATTTAATTTTCGTTTATTTCATTTTATTTTTTACTTTTATTTTATTTAAATTTATTTAATTTACATATATAATATTTGTTAAATTAATTTTAATCTTTTTTAATTTTTTACTTATTTAATTGTTTTTTTTTTCAATTAATTTTTTTACTTCACCTAGATTTATTTATTATCGGTGGCCGCATTAACCATTCGGATGCGGCTTAGAACAAACTATTGGTCGCTCCTTTTTTTTTGAGTTGTGCTAATCAATTTAAGTATAAAAAATTTATTTATTTATGCTTTTTTTTATTAAAGTTTATTTAATATTATAACTTTGTTTTGATATTTAGTTAATTTAAATTTATTTAAAATTTTTTTCGTCATTTAGTTATTTCGTTTTTCAGTCGATTTAGTTTCTTGGTGTTGATTATTTTTCCTATATTTTTTTATTACGTTTTTTATCTTATTTCAAAATTTATTTGGTTCGATTCGGAGTAACTCTTCTATTACTACCACCCTTAACAGATTTTATAAACTTAATCAATGATGGATCGAGCCACTGTAGGGCTCTTTGTGACAATAGTTGCTGCGTCGATCTTAGCAGCACCCGTCGTTGGCCAAAGTGCCGCGGGGCAAAACAGTGAGTTTTAATATTTCTATGATTTTTTGCCATTATTTAGTCTCCTTGGTTATTTTTTAACTTTAAAGCCACCAACAGTCGAGCCACAAATATTCTTTACTCAGCCAGCCAAACTAAACTACTGGGTGATATACTTTCCCTTTTGGGTGACGTGCTGAATAACTTAGGCGGTATGGTAGCGAGTAAGTAATCTTTTTCAGTGATAAAGGCACGTCTGTAGCGTTGATTTCTTTTTTTTAGCTGGTACCGACACCACTACCCAGAGTACAACTACCCAAAGCACTACAACACCCTCCACGACCTTGGCTACCGTTAACAGCAACGATAGCAACAATGATGTCATATTAGGCGATTTACTACGAATATTAAGCGAACTTCTCGAAAACAGTAAGTTTCGCAAACGATATAATAGTTAGATCTTTCCTCATTAATTTTCTTTTTTTCGTATTTCTACAGTAAACGGCACAGCACCTTGCGTATCGCAGGCCACAGAGGGCGAAATGTCAACAACCCCACTTTCGCAAAGTTCACCAGATCCCAGTGTCCTTACCACACTCCTCACCACAATTCAATCAACAATTTTTTCAATAACAGATACTACAACAGAGCCAACTTCGCTACAAAGTACACCAACTACTTTGGCAAACACCATGGAACCATCGGTTATAAGCACCTTGATCTCTTCAATACAAACAACAATCTCAAGTTTAGCAACTACTATGGAAAACTCCACCACAGCTTCCATTTCAAACCCAACAACGGAAGCATCTGCAACAACTTCTAGCACAAATTCAACATCCGAAGCCTCAGCAATATTTTCCAGCTCAGACTCAACTTCTACGACATCTCCTACTTCAGGTTCTACAACGGAAGTCTCTACTACATCTTCTAGTTCAGATTCAACATCCGAAGCTTCAACAACATCTTCCAGCGTAGACTCAACTTCTACGACATCTCCTACTTCAGGTTCTACAACGGAAGTCTCTACTACATCTTCTACTTCAGATGCAACAACCGAAGCCTCAACAACATCTTCCAGCTCAGTCTCAACTACTGAAGTTTCTACGGCATCTTCTACTTCAGACTCAACAACGGAAGCCTCTTCTACATCTTCTAGTTCAGAATCAACAACGGAAGCCTCTACTACAACTGCTAGTCCAGGTTCAACATCCGAAGCCTCAACAACATCTTCCAGCTCAGACTCAACTTCTACGTCATCTCCTACTTCAGATTCAACAACGGAAGTCTCTACTACATCTTCTACTTCAGATGCAACAACCGAAGTCTCAACAACATCTTCCAGCTCAGTCTCAACTACTGAAGTTTCTACGGCATCTTCTACTTCAGACTCAACAACGGAAGCCTCTTCTACATCTTCTAGTTCAGAATCAACAACGGAAGCTTCTTCTGCAACTGCTAGTCCAGGTTCAACAACTGAAGCCTCGACAACATCTTCCAGCTCAGACCCAACTACGGAAGCTTCTACGGCATCTTCTACTTCAGATTCAACAACGGAAGCTTCTACAACCACCGAAGCCTCAACAACATCTTCCATCTCAGACCCAACTACGGAAGCATCTACGGTATCTTCTACTTCAGATTCAACAACAGAAGCTTCTACAACACCTTCCAATACAGATTCAACAACGGAAGTCTCCACGACATCTTCTACTTCAGATTCAACATCCGAAGCCTCAACAACATCTTCCAGCTCAGACTCAACTTCTACGTCATCTCCTACTTCAGATTCAACAACGGAAGTCTCTACTACATCTTCTACTTCAGATGCAACAACCGAAGCCTCAACAACATCTTCGAGCTCAGACCCAACTACTGAAGTTTCTACGGCATCTTCTACTTCAGACTCAACAACGGAAGCCTCTTCTACATCTTCTAGTTCAGATTCAACAACTGAAACCTCAACAACATCTTCCAGCTCAGTCTCAATTACGGAAGTTTCTACGGCATCTTCAACTTCAGATTCAACAACTGAAGCTTCTACAACCACCGAAGCCTCAACAACATCTTCCACCTCAGACCCAACTACGGAAGCTTCTAACGCATCTTCTACTTCAGATTCAACAGCAGAAGCTTCTACAACACCTTCCAATACAGATTCAACAACGGAAGTCTCCACGACATCTTCTACTTCAGATTCAACATCCGAAGCCTCAACAACATCTTCCAGCTCAGACTCAACTTCTACGTCATCTCCTACTTCAGATTCAACAACGGTAGTCTCTACTACATCTTCTACTTCAGATGCAACAACCGAAGTCTCAACAACATCTTCCAGCTCAGTCTCAACTACTGAAGTTTCTACGGCATCTTCTACTTCAGACTCAACAACGGAAGCCTCTTCTACATCTTCTAGTTCACAATTAACAAAGGAAGCCTCTTTTACAACCTCTAGTTCAGATTCAACAACTGAAACCTCAACAACATCTTCCAGCTCAGTCTCAACTACGGAAGTTTCTACGGCTTCTTCAACTTCAGATTCAACAACTGAACCTTCTACAACCACCGAAGCCTCAACAACATCTTCCACCTCAGACCCAACTACGGAAGCTTCTACGGCATCTTCTACTTCAGATTCAACAACAGAAGCTTCTACAACACCTTCCAATACAGATTCAACAACGGAAGTCTCCAAGACATCTTCTACTTCAGATTCAACATCCGAATCCTCAACAACATCTTCCAGCTCAGACTCAACTTCTACGTCATCTCCTACTTCAGATTCAACAACGGAAGTCTCTACTACATCTTCTAGTTCAGATTCAACATCCGAAGCTTCAACAACATCTTCGAGCGTAGACTCAACTTCTACGACATCTCCTACTTCAGGTTCTACAACGGAAGTCTCTACTATATCTTCTACTTCAGATGCAATAACCGAAGTCTCAACAACATCTTCCAGCTCAGTCTCAACTACTGAAGTTTCTACGGCATCTTCTACTTCAGACACAACAACGGAAGCCTCTTCTACATCTTCTAGTTCTGAATCAACAACGGAAGCTTCTTCTGCAACTGCTAGTCCAGGTTCAACAACTGAAGCCTCGACAACATCTTCCAGCTCAGACCCAACTACGGAAGCTTCTACGGCATCTTCTACTTCAGATTCAACAACAGAAGCTTCTACAACACCTTCCAATACAGATTCAACAACGGAAGTCTCCACGACATCTTCTACTTCAGATGCAACAACCGAAGCCTCAACAACATCTTCCAGCTCAGACTCAACTTCTACGTCATCTCCTACTTCAGATTCAACAACGGTAGTCTCTACTACATCTTCTAGTTCAGATTCAACATCCGAAGCCTCAACAACATCTTCCAGCTTAGACTCAGCTTCTACGACATCTCCTACTTCAGATTCAACAACCGAAGCCTCAATAACATCTTCCAGCTCAGACTCAACTTCTACGACATCTCCTACTTCAGATTCAACAACGGAAGTCTCTACCACATCTTCAAGAACAGATTCAACAACCGGAGCCTTAAACACATCTTCCAGCTCAGACCCAACTACGGAAGTTTCTACGCCATTTTCTTCTTCAGATTCAACAACAGAAGCTTCTACAACACCTTCCATAACAGATTCAACAACGGAAGTCTCTGCGACATCTTCCAGTTCAGATTCAACATCCGAAGCCTCAACAACATCTTCCAGCTCAGACTCAACTTCTACGGCATCTCCTGCTTCTGATTCAACTACGACATCTTCTGCTGCCGATTTAACAACGGAAGTCTCTACAACAACTTCAAGTTCAGATTCAACAACTGGAGCCTCAATTTCAGATTCAGCAACGGAACTCTTTACGTCATTGTCTGGTACAAATTCGACAACGGAAGCTGCCACATCTTCCAGCTCAGATGTAACATCTGAGGCCTCAACTACACCAACATCAACCTCCGCATCAACTGCCTCAACAACTGTGTTCTCAACCGAATCTTCATCTACAACTCCAACAACTTTGCCACCAATCCTAGCTTCACTGACCACCAATCTACCCAGCTCGTCACAGGGAACTACTGAGTCCACCACAGTATCGACATCTACCACGCTCGCACCGACACCAACACCAACTCTTAACGGCCCCATAGTTGTGTACTACCCTTATCCATTGTTTTTCCCATTCCAATTTCCCTTCGTTAACTGTTTCCGCATAGTGGACACCACTGGAGCAACTACAACTGGGCCTACACGTATATTGTGTGTTCCGCGGTTTGCACTTTCCTAACAATGGACTCAATAATTTCTACCTAGCATTGAATCTTCGATATTGTAACCAAGTATGGAAATATAAATATTACGAGTATATTATGTGATGAAATAATTGCAGTAAAATTTTGATACTGTTATATAAACTCTGAAGCTTTTTTTAATTATTATTTTTATTTATATGAATTATTTTATAATTTTTAAATAAAATCGATTTTCGAAATATGTAATTATAGTAAACTTGTTGTGACCAGAGGGTAAGAGAGATCAGAGTTCTTAAGATTGAATAATGCGTATTTTTTGTAGAAACAAATTATCACTTTCAGCCGTCACGCTTCTCTAAAGGATGGCTGAGCTAACCAACCTAAACCATATTTAGTCTGATGCCAGTTAATGCCTAAATCAATACTCATGAGAAACTGTGTAGTTTGTCTCGGAAATACACTCGTTGGTGGAAATATCCTGTTGAGGGCTGCAAATAGAAAATTTTCACTGGAACTTTGCACTTTGGAACATGATTCGAGTAGATTGTCACTTCCGATTCCGGTGAAGATTCGTTAATCGAACAAATTAGAACTCATGCTCATCGGAAGCACCGATTTTTTTGTATTCTATCGAAAAATTAGAATAAGTTAAGCTTAATGAGAGAGGTAAGAGAGGGTGTTATTGTTCAATGGAGTTTGGCGAGCTCTCAGCTTTAGCTTAGAGGCTAATGTGATATCTAAGTCAAAGAAATGGGTGGCCTGTGTAGTAATTAACAACACTCCACAATGCCTAGAAACACGTGTTTGTCTGCCGAAGTTTCACTTGCGGGTGTCCTTCACAGCAAGAATATAGTTATGGAGGTCGTATTTATTAAATTGATTGCACTTTCTCATAGAATATATTGTATTTGTAAAGAAGGGGTGAGTACATCACCTTCGCAGAGAGGCAGTTGGTAGTCGTCGCCTCTTAATACTCTCTTTTGTACAGACGATTGAGCAGATTCCGACTTTTAAATAGTCCTTCTTCCATTTGTGCCGAAACAGTCTGTCTCTATACCCTTATAATCGTCATGGTGTAGGTACTCTAAAGCCGTGATAGGCTTCATAAAAACCCTTGCAAATAAAAGTCTTATAATATTTATAAGATAACTTCAATCTTTCTTTTATTCTCTTAATGTACTTTCATTACAAAACAACATTTTCATATATGTTTCAATACGTTTATAATTTCTTCAAGCCTCAAAGTCCAAGCAGCAGCTTATCATAGAGCTAAAGTAGTAAGAAATTTCTTTGAAACTCGAGCACTACAAAACTACCACCCGAAAATCGCAATATGTCTCACTGTCTTTGGGAAATTGTATATCTTTTAAGTAAAAACGATAAAACACATTACAAAATCTGATAAGAAATTATTAACTGTGATATAAATAAAAACAAATACCTTTATCAGAGTAAGCACCCTTCCCCTCATCTGGCGCTTGTAGGTGACTTATGATCGTATTCGCAGGCAAAATTGCTTTTATATCTTCCAATGTGGGATTGCGGCGTTTCACTGTAGTAAATATAAGAGAATGTAAATGAAAAAAAGGAAAAAATTTATAAAAAAAACAATAAATCAACAGTTAGTTACCTATTGCTGCCAAACGCTTTATTAAATCCTCCTGCGACATGGCCAGCGTAAAGATGGCAAAAAATGTTGAGATGCATAATATGAAACGCATTTTTTTATCAAGAATTTATTTTCGAAATTTTAAAATTTTGTTAAGCATATTTTGTTAATGAACGCTGACACTCACGTACCGCTGTAAGCTTCTAAGCAAAATGGTGTCAATGAGAAGTTATTTATACCTCTGAAGTGCTGACTCTAGGGGCATGAGAAATAATTGAAAATACGTGACTTAATTGGATGCATTAATAAATTTCATTTTATTTTTATTCAATATAAAGAAAAAAACAATTTTTTGCTAGAATTCAAATTATTTTTATTCAAATGTTTCAATGTACTCGTACGCACACACAAGCTAACCTATACAAGCTTTCATGTGTCTGTTTTCACTTGACGTGCACTTTACGGCCACACATTGGTTGTCTCCCTTGTCCGAGTATACCCCTCATGAGTATTTACTTTTCCTCAATATCAACCTTGTAAGGCCGTACTCACTCTCTTTTAGTTTAGTTCAAGCTCAAGCATACGGGCGGGCAGACAGCCATGGTTAGATCACCGAGACAAGCTCCTAAACACATTCAATACTTCAGTTTACATTTAAATACGGATATATCTTCCTAGACATTTCACTGAAAAATAACAACAAAAACGCATTAAATAACCGCTGCAGCGATTTCAATTTCTAAAAAGCGTATTGCTGATACTCCAACAAATTTGAGGAGCTAACAATTTCTTCCAAGCCGCCTCTGAACTGCTGGTGGATTTTTGGGGAACTTTTATTTCAAAACAGGAAAACGCTCAGAGGATTGGGCATTCCTTAACGAGAAGTAGTCGTATTTCGAAATTATGTTTTCCATATTTTCCTTTTTTAAGTAACTACAATATATATCTAGAACTACAGGAAGATGCTTTGGCATGGCTTCGCCTGTGCTTGTATCGAAAACATACCAACTTTTGTCCAGGCTTCAGTGATCCAATATTAAATACGTTCATATAGGGAAATAGTCACGCTTCAACAAAAAGTCAACCAAAGCAAACCATAAATAATTTTTTTTTATAGATCGTTGCCTTGTCGACTACATTAACAGTTTTACCAATCGAAGAAAATTGGAATAAACCCCTCGGAATTGTAGAAACAATTGATTATTGACAGTTGAATTTTCAAAATTACTCGACAATGAAGAAGTTCCAATAGCAATCGCCGGATTATCGGCCGAACTGTTTAAATAAGCTTCTTTGCACGATATGGTCGGATAAAAGCATGACCAATGATTGGGATCTAAGTGTACTCTCTGCAATCCACAAAGAGCGCGATCCCACAGTCTGCGCCAATTACCGTGGGATAAACCTCATTCATATTGCATACAAAGTCCTGTCAATCATATTGTGTGGAGGACTAAAGCCCACCGTCATCAAATTGATTGAACCTTATGAGTGTGGCTTAAGACCTGATAAACCAACCATTAACCAGATATTCACCATCTGCCAAATTTTGGAAAAGACCCCTTAAAAGAGATTTTTCGACTTTAAAGCAGCCTTCCACAGTACGAAAGGAAACTGTCTCTGACGACTGTGTAAATTGACGTTAAGCAACACTAAAAGCTCCGTCAGGATCGGGAAGGACATCATCAAGCCGTTCGATACCAAACGAGCTTTCAGACTGGGTGATTCCATATCGCATGATTTCTCCAATTCTTTTGCTAGAGAAAATTGTAAGAGCTGCACATCTAGGCACAGGCTGCTGATATTGACATTATTGGATTCAACAACAACAGATATACAGCGGCATAAACATAGTTCAGTGAATCAAGAAACGGTTGTAAACGCTGGCTCGATCATTTGGTCCGGTTGTATAAGAATACTCCAGCTTTGAAAGTTTGTAATGCAGTACCCGGTGGAAGCAGAGGAAGAGGAAGACCTCTACCCCTTTGGAAAGACCCAGGTAGAGAAGAAACTGGTTACACTTGGTATTTTCAATTGGCGCCAAAAAGCAAAAACAAGAAATGAAGGGCACAATGTTTTTGAATTGGCTATAATCGCGTAGGCGGTGTCAACGCCAGTAAAAATCACTCTCCATATATCTTCCCTAAGGAAAGATGTCACGACTATAGTTCTGCTCGATGACCTGAAGGGCAGTAAAATTAGTAAAAAGGGAGCGCACTTTTGAGGTTCAGCACGAAAAATAGCTGATTTGTGATGGAACTATAGTAAATTATGTTATTGTTATATGTACAATTCAAATTAATTTTCGATTCCTTAAATTTAATAGCAAGCAAAAAAAATGCAGGAATGCACATGGTGAGAAGTTTGCGAGAAAAATATGGCCCACTTAATCAGGAAGACTGCATTTTCATTGAGGTTTTTTGCCTGACCAAAACAATTTGTTTAGATCTTATGAACGGCTTGACAACATATGACAAGTGAGCAGATGTTCATTTCTGTACATAACTTTTAAATAATATATACTTTATGATGAGCCAATCTTCTGTTTCGCGATCACGGCACTGTTTTCCTTATAGCACCACCAGGCAGCGACCCCACAAATCCAGCAAGCCTGTTTATGAACCGGAAGGGTCATTACAGCGTAAATGTAGAGGCAATGTGTGACACAGGCATGCATTTTTTGCCAATAAACACCAACTTTCCTGGGTCTTGTCATGACTCTGCGACCAAGGCTATCCTCCGGAGCCCTGGCTACTAGCCCCAGCTACAAAAAACTACTCGTACACTGTGTGGCACGCAATGTAATCGAACGTACTTTTGGTGCATTGAAATCAAGATTTCGATGTCTCTCAAAGCACCGCACTAGTAGCATTAGTTTCGAAGTGAATTTACGTGCAATACTCCATAATATTATCAAAAAAAAAAACCGCATGCTATACTAACGTAGAGCAAATGGGACTAGAGGAGAATAAAATTGATAAAAAATATTCCAACTGCGCGGGCAACAACTATCCATAACGAACTCTTTCGTGACGCCCAACGGATTAGATTGATTTAGATTTTATAGTTTTCAATTGACTTATGAAGAAATGAATAGAACAAGTATTAAGTATCGTAGTTCTGGGATTGATGAATCAATTTATGAAGTCACTTGAAAGTAATAAAAATTGCAAAAAGAAATAATTAATATCAAAGAGATGAGTGATTGTATTTAATAGTAATGGGAAAACTTTTGGGCGAGGAACCTAACAAAGGAGGTGTGACTGAGGCTCAACATTACCGATTTAATCAATATATTAAGGAGATTACAAAAAGATAAGTAGGATTATGGAGCTTCTCAATGACACTTCAGAGGAACCTTCCAGATGCTTCCTATAAG